TGCCTGACCCCTCCCCGGCCTGTCCCCAGTGCTCCGAGGCCTGTGGCGGTGGGGAGCAGCAGCGCCTGGTGACCTGCCCGGAGCCCGGCCTGTGCGAGGAGGCGCTGAGACCCAACTCCACTCGGCCCTGCAACACCCACCCCTGCACGAAGTGGGTGGTGGGACCCTGGAACGAGGTGCATACTAGGTGCCGGGCACCCTGTGGTCACTGCAGATACAGTGGTGGCCCCAGGAGCTCCTGACCTGCCCGAGCTGCAGCCTGCCGGGGAGAAGTGGCGATGCCCGGGAAGGCCTCCGGGGAGGGGAGCTCAGAGTCCAGACCTGGGGGAGGCCGTGATGTGAAGGGGCGTCTGCAATGCAAAGTCCTGAGCAGCAGTGACAGGCCTGGGGATGGTCAGGGAAGGGGGGGCTGGACACCCTCCGCTGAGCCTGTTTGGAGCTCAGAGGGTCAGCACTCTCGGCCCTTGTTTCTCTGGCTGCTGAGTGACTCTAGGCTCTGTCTCCTCATTTGCCAAAGGGGGTCGTGAGGATCCCGTGAAGCAACCTGGGCACAAGGTTGGCACACATTAAACGTGTTTGAGGGCTTTGTAAAAGCAGCAGACCCCAGCTGGGAAGAACTGAGCCTGACTCAGGAGGGTGGCCCCCCCTTCCTCCCTCCTTCCCTCCCTCCCTCCCTGCTGGAGACTGCTGGGCTGGTCCCATCCCCAGGGAGGTGCTGCAGCGCCCCCTTGTCAACCCCTCCGAAGGTGCAGCAGTGATGCCCAGGAGGCAGTGGGCCTGGGGAAGAGGGGGCCAGACCCTCCTAGGAGGCAGCAGGGGTGGGGCTGGGAGCAAGGAGAGGCTGTCAGCCCTCGGGTTGCCCAGCCCCCACCGTGAGGCTGGAGATGGGAGCCCACCCCCTCCTTCCCACAGTGCTCGGCCCCCTGCGGGGGTGGTGTCCAGCGGCGTCTGGTCAGATGTGTCAACACCCAGATGGGGCTGCCCGAGGAAGACAACGACCAGTGTAGCCACGAGCCCTGGCCTGAGAGCTCCCGGCCGTGCGGCACCCAGGACTGCGAGGCTGCTGAGCACCCACGTGAGTGTCCTCACCCCACATAGGAGAACTGGGGGAATGGGAAACCATCAAGCCATCCCCCCTACAGCAATACTGAGCGTGGGGTGCCATGTGGAAGCCTGGGCTGTGCCGGGACTGGACGGGGGTGTGTGTCCAGCTTTCTCAAGTTCGGTAGGCATCCGGCAGCAGCCTTGACCCCAAGTTGCTGTGTGATCTCAGGTGATCTTCTCCCTCTGGGTCCCAGAGTGAGGCCAGGGGTGTCCCTGAGACTAGAGACCAGACCCAGGTAAGTCCCTGTCCCCAGCTATGGCCGGAGTGAACGATGCCTCCCTCCCAGGGTCCCGCTCACTCCCTGCTTCTGGGCCAGCTGTGTCCTCCTGGAGGAAGGGCCCGAGCCCCAGAGGTGGTTCTGGACACACACACACACACACACACACACACACTTCCTGCAGCCTAGACACCTGCGGTGCTGAGCACAGGAATCTGGCCTGGCATCCACCGGGGCTCCCCTCCCAGCTGTGCGGCCTTGGGCTCCACTTCCCTCTCTGGCCTCCACTTCCCTGACCATAAAGAGCTGACAGCCCCCATCCTTGGTGGGTGGGGGGAGCATCTCTGAGGACTCAGGGGTGAAGGGCTCAGGAGGGCCTCAGGGAATGTGGGCATCTTCCCTAGAAGCTGCTATCACCCCATCACAATGTCAGGAAGCGGGTGTAGGGCTATCTGTCCGTTGAGGGAACCCAGCAGCTCATGAGTCTGTCCGCTTTTTGTCCCTGGCTCCTAGGACAGTCGGTAGCCCTCAGGGCCTTGGGATCTGCCCCAATCTGCCTGAAATCCCAGCAGAAATGCCACCCACCCGGCCCCTGCCCTCACCCTGCCCTCGGCATTCATGTAACCAGCCTCAGTGCCTCTGCACTTGGCCCGAGCTTGCTGCTGACGCCACAGCACTTGCCTCCAGGGCACCATTGGGTCCCTGCCCCTCTCAGCCCCTCACGCTGGTCTCAGGGCCTCTGGGGAGCTGGGCAGCTATGGTTCCAGGCGGCGAGGGTCAGCAGGGGCGAGCACTGAGGCCTCTGGGGCTGGAACCAAGGACAAGGCCTGGCCCGGGAGGTTTCTGGGTGGCTTTTAGGGTGGTCAGGTGGCTGAGCCACCAGCTGCCCCAAAGGAGGAGTTTCCAGGCTGGAGCCAGGCGGGAGGCATCTTGGACGCTGACACCCCGGAGTCCCCAGGATATTCTGATGGTTTGTGGGGTTGTGTGGCCGGATATCAGGAAAGGCCAGGAACTCCGGGGTGTGAGGTGACCCCAGCGAGGCAGCTGACGCCATGGAGGTGGGGTACTGACAGAGGGAACCGCCACCCCCCCGACCCCAGAGGTTAAGAGGCCTGCCCTATGTCACGCAGCAGGAACGGGCCACGCGTCTGCAGACGTGCTACTGGGGAGCTGCTGCCCGAGGCCGGGGTGGCGGAGCCCGGCCCCCCGCCAGCAGCAGCTGAGGGCTGTCAGCAGCGCCGGGGGCAAGGTCAGGGGGCTGGAAGCGAGCTGCTTCCCAAAATAGCTCCAGCGAGCACAGGCCTGGGCCCCAGACGAACCAGCCCC